ACGTGTTAAAATCAGCTCAGTCATCTGTCTTGGATGGCCTCAGCCATCCCTCTTAATGTTGTCGCAGCGAGCGCGGACTGCTCCATTTGAGACGACATCGGTGTTCTTCACTCGAAGGATGGTACTCGGGCAACGGTGCTAAAATACAGTTTTCTGTTAGTAGAGCATTCACATCCGTATAGGGGGGACTGATCAGATGGATGCATTGTTCATGCAGAAATTGGTTACTGACTTGGCAAATCATTGTACTTGCCAGATGATTAATTACTTGAAAAAATTCTTTCGTCTAATTTGATTTCCTGAATGCTTACTTGTCACTTCGGGCACTTACTCTGTGGTATTTAATGATAGCTTAATCCCGAAAGTTTGAATGTGTCTACTTCTCCAAGTTGACAGCCAATAATATCGATGGCAGCCTCCCCTAGTCAAGGTTCTGATCACACTCCTTCATAATATGACCTGTCTTATAAAGGTGGTTTTGCTAACACATGGCAATGATGCTAAAAATGCGAATCGATTTCAGGACTAGGATGTCTGGGATACGTTTCTGTTGGTTACATCTCCAGAATCCGCCAAGTTCGACTGAGGTGGATGCCGTTTATACTCCTCCTTATCGTCAACAGTGGATCTATTTTCGTAATGTGGAAGTCATCACAGCGGATGTCCAATCCAGATTGTATACTGCCCTTGCAAATTCGAATGCAAGAATATGCTGTTCACGGTGTTCCATTTTTCCACAAAACCAAGACCGGGATTATTGTCAGTCACCATGAATTGAAAGCATGCATAGTGGCTACAACATTATCATAGTCCCATCATGTTCAGAATTGTTGTGTACAGACCAATTAACTCTCTGTACATCGGTGGTCAATATTGCTCTCTTAGACGCCTGACCATAAATGGTCCATACCCTAGTAAAAATTGGCCTTTGTATTGAAGAGTAAGACGTGTTCACAACAGGTTCACCTTGGATATGAGGCAGACAGACATTTCAGAATGACATAAATACTTATATCGACAGTGATACATGTACAGTTCTGCGAGTACTACAAACAACTTTCCTAAATTTGTGAATGTTTGATTGTTTCTCCCATACCAGCGGGAACGCATTTACGAAAACTTATAATTAATAAAGAGCAACATTAGACATATTAAGTACTTAAAAGAACTATAAGCAGTACTTAGTGTTTGTTAAGAAAAATAAAATTTTCTCGACAAATCGCAGGTTGTGGAGACGTCAAAAATAGCTATAAATAAGAACAGTAAATTTAAAGTAGTAATCAAAGATACGTACAAGGATAAATGGCAATCCATAGGACGATGGTATTGAAACACAGTTAATGTGCCAGTTCATATTCTGTTCGTCGACACGATCCACAGCAGGCAAACTGCTTCCACCACTTTCGTAGGCGGCGTCGGAAGCCGCAAAAGGACTTTGATCCAAAAATATTCTTGCTTCTAAAATGATGTGCGCAACTGAAATAAGGCAGTCCCTATATAATGAACGAAAAAGTACTTAATGAAATGCATGGAAAATAATTCATCCTGCGGCACAGGTATCATCGAATTTCTGGAGGACTCCAGGACGGTCGTCCAGTTGGCAGCTCTCATTCGGTGTTCCTTCGATGGCCGAAGCTGCAATTCAATCTCCGCAGCCGACATAAATTCAGCTTGTGCTTTTCTATCCAGTTTGTTTTCGACTACGTCTGAAACCTTCATCCTTTCCTCCTGTTAAAATTTTCCATCAAACTGTAGATTTTCTGCCAGAAACTCGTCTCCCTTCTCCCCGTCCTCAGCATCATCAACCGTGCCGTTTTTCTTCTCCTTTCCTTCTGCTTGCTGATTTGCACAACTGGATTTCCAATCTCTTCCCTCATCCTCATAATCATTTTCGTCCTGAGATTCCGTATGATACGCCATTTCCCCCTCTTTCTCAGTCTCTTCTGACACCTCTTCGATCCCCTGCAGCTCTGGATCAAACTTCAGTCGTCTGATCCAGGGATGCTCCTGGTTCCTGGTTTTGCCTACTGGAGAAAAACGTTCGATCTTATGAAGTGTTCTGCGAAATTCTTACTTCACAGAATACAAATGTCTAATTCACTTATCGCTCTGCGTGCGCGCCAATTCGTCATGATTTGTTACAACTTCCGAGGACCCGTACACTTATATTTACTCGTTAAGGCAGCCATGCCGTATTGGTGGGACAGTTGAGTTAATTGAGGTACAATTTGTAATCGGATTTGATTCATATTTTTAAGCTGGATAATATACGAAAGCGTTAAGACATCTTGCACTTTTGCAGTGGTCAACGCAAATGAAATAACCAAGACAGCACCAGGGTCTTGCATACGTTGGACTGCCCTTCTAGAATCAGGCTCCATTTTTTGATGGGACAATTTGAATAAATTGAATGCTGTCCAGCTTCCACCACACTAGGTTGTTGTTGCGTTGGATTGCAGGAGAGAAAACGAAAATGGAATTGAAAACGGGTGTGCTAACGATGTCTGTAATAGAAAAGGTGTGCAAAGATGATGCTACGTAATATATACTGTTTCATATGCATGCATTTTGGCTATATCTCTGTTACTGTTTCTCCACCTCTGACGATGGGCTCTTGTAAGAACTCGAAAGCT